ATTAAAAGCGCTCTCAAACAAGGCCCTAACTTTTTTACTGTTCGTCCAAATAATTATTAACACATCATTACAATTAACATATCTAACTTTTGTCTATCTACTCTGTACGCTTAAAAATGTGACATTTTAACATTAAATGATGCATCAATAATAGGAGCCTTAGTTGATCATGTGGGTTGTTTTTTTCACTTTCAATATCAATTCTCCCAATAAAATAATTTTACACTTGAACCTATAACTTTTAGCTACATTTTTAACATGTTCCCAAAAAAAAAAAAAAAATCTACTTTTCACAAAATACATTCTAAAAAAACTTACATCAAACATGCTTTAAATATAGTTTTTACGGGCGTGTTCAGTAGAGATTAAAATTTGACTAAAATTGAAAAACTAACCGTTATTGTTGACTTTTATTAGACGAGTGGAATCCAATAACGACCATATTTCAATTTTAATTAAATTTTAAGCACGACCGAACACACAATAAGTGATGGTATATGCTGTATATTAAATTCTTCATTTAGGCACTTTGCATGAATAAATACAGCATTTGCTAAATGAAAATTCAGCTTGATACAATTTTTCTTTCAAAAAAATCTCGAGTTCTGTTCTTTTTTTTTTTTGCATAGAATATTTGTGTATGTAAGGCTCCAATATCAGGCCCACTGATTCTGAAACTATTACCACTATTGAATTTTTTGTCTTAAGACTTTGTTGAATCTTTACCTTTCCAATATAAAGTTGTAGTCAATCAAATAAATGATGATGATTTAGTCCCTACAAAAATCAGCATTCCACTCAAAAAAATCTATGAACATAAAGTAAGAGCACTTTAATGTTAACTTGAATTTCACTAAAAATTTACCATCTACCATCTAAGTAAAATAGATAACGTCATCAAAATTCCATCTCCAATGCAACATATCTCGAACTATATCTAGTGATGTGACAAAGAGAAAAAAAACGACATTGTTAAAGAAGATTATCCAAACGTAAAGAAACTTCTAGATGCAGTGAATTATTAAAATTTAATATTTCTCATTCCTCTCTCTCTCTCTCTCTTTTGCTTTT